TGTGGGACCAGTTTTAATGCATGACACGTGCAGGTGAAATGAAGGGCCTGACGAAGGCAGGGTGTCACATCTGGGGCAGGCATCAGTCAGTGGAATCATAATGGTCATTTGATCCCAATGGGGAAAAGAGTGTTTAATTGGCTTCACACATGCAGCATTGCCTTACTTGTTAATGCATGTGACAATTACTCCACCAATTGGCAATTGCATATGCTATGGTGAATTTTATGTCCAATCTCATTTTCATGAAGCCGAAAACTTTGAACACTTAAGTTGGCAAACATTAATTGCAATTTGGTAAGTTTATTAATTTGGACTGGGAAGAAGTCTTTACCCTAGCTAGCCGGTGCTCCGCATTGATCAGTCGCTCGTGGGCGTGTGATGCTAATACACAATTGTTAATGAATGCAAAACTGTATAATAACTTCATGACTCTTCTCTTTTTATTTCTCTCATTACGTGATAGGTTAAGTATTGAGAGAAATAAAAAGAGAATGATACCGAAACGGGGCCTAGGGAAATACTTTTCCTGATCTAAATGACTCCATAGGCCATGTGCATGATTCATTGATCGCCTTTTCCTCCTTCTACTAGTTATGTGCAATTGGAGGGTTAGGTGTCGGTCACATTTGCTATCAAAGACTACGAAATATGAATGCTGCCTGCAAACAAGTATAAAAAGGAAAGGACCCATTTGCTTTCGGTCTTCAATAACGTTGTGCCCCTTAAAGTGGGTTAGTCTAATCAGCAACTCCATATATCCCCAATGACACGTTACATCTCCTTGCGGAATATCAAAACTTACTTACATGTTCCCATATATAGTCTCATTATTTTCATTTCACCCATTATTTAGTTATCACAAAGCCAATTCGCCAGACAAATTCTTACCACTTTAGTTTATGTAGGACTTCTTGTTGTTTCTATATCTTCTCATCTTAAAATCCTGCACAATTGTGCTATTTTTCGAATCAGCTAACTCTTAATTCATTAATAGTTACGAGATGTTTGATATTTGAATTTCTTATTTTTAGTCCATAATTTTTTATATATATTGTTTTTCTAATCATTTTGGAAGCAGTCCCACAAATTTGCTATCAATCTGACACCTGGACCGGAGGAGGAGGTTAACAAGGAACGTGAATAACGCTAATTAAGTTTTAAATTAGAAGACATGATAAAGGAATAAAGATAATGGCTTGGACATGATAGATGTTTGCCCATATGAAAAGACAATCATCCTACCAGGCATTATGTGGTATCTAACGTGAAATGGCTGAGATAATGTCCATATACAATCTCCCAATTGAGTTAGGCAAAATGAGAGCTTGAAAGTATGTGTATATATGTGCGTGTGAGGTGGGGTGGGTGATCTTGTCATCACCTCAGTGTGGTTGAAAACTTATTGTCTTTCTTATCCCTTTTCAATTTCCAACAATCGAAAATTATTAGGTCATATTTGTAGCTCACGGGATTAAGCGTTAGTGTTCAATTTCTTTGCATGGGGAGGCTTTGCGTTTAATTTCCATCTCCTACAATATCTCTTGGATTATGGGAGCGCTTCCGCGCGGGTGGCCTGCTACTCCCCATCTTCCGTTGGCCTCTTTGATACCCCCTGGTATCGGTTACTCCTCCTTGGTGGTGGTGGATCTGCTCTGGTGGGGTTGTTGGCATGCTATGTGCGGCTGCTCCTGTGTTCTAGATCTAGGGTTTCTTTGTTTAATATTGTATGGGCTTTTGTGTTTATTTGGTTATGTTTCTCTGGCCCTGCTTTATTTGTTGGTGTTATGCTACATTTGAAATGAGTTTCCTAAATTTGTAATGTTTCCCACTATTAATGAATACTGTTCCCTTGACCCCAAAAAAAAAAAAACGCAAAAAACTAAATATTGAAACTGAAAAAAGAAAATAAAAATGAAGATATGTACTACTAACTAGATGTGGAAATGCTAATAACTCCATTATTGTTGAGGAGTTGTTGGGTTCCACCAACAACAGTTTAAAGATTGTAATGTTAAACTAGGAAGGAGAGACTATAAAAGCAAAATGTCTTACTAGCTGAAAAATCAATGATGTTGCCCAAAAAAGGGACCCCAATTATTCCACTTCAGGTGGGATTGTCCCCTAGGAAGTTGCTTAGTCTAATCAAGACCTCCAAATATCACCAAAGCATGTATATGTATTTGCTTATTGCCAACCTCACATTTCTGAGCTGCTATAGCTTAGCCTAATGCGGATGGGATATATCCTTCATTCCTTTGCACTCCATATGCTTCCCCCTTGGTACATGCATATCTGTTGTGAAAACAACCATGATGAATTTGGACTTCATCAAATCAAATTCCTAATTATTTAGACTTTTTAGAAACCCTAAACCGTATGTTAATTGGGCCAATGAAGGATATGTGGGGATCTCTAACTTATGCTCTAGAATTGGACAATCAATATGAGCCCAAAGGGCCGGACTAGTTATTATTAATAGGTTAATTTTTTTTTATAGAACGAGCATAATTTCATTAATAAAGAGGTAAATACAAGAGATGTACAAGAAGAACACACCTCAAATAGAGGTTCTTGCATACAATAAATCCGGACTATTACAAATTCAAGTCCAACTCACTCAGAGTTGACAGATAGAGGATCAAGAAGACTCTTTATAGCATTAGAGTTATAAAGAGACCATGAGAACAACTGATTCTGCATGAACATGGAACTAGAAGTACCAAAAGTGAAAGGGCCTTACTGCTCAACATCCACTTGACAAAAGAAGGCCACATCTCCTCCAGTATCCCACATGATCTCACACCACCCATTATGAAAGATCCATCTAGATCTAGCAACTTTACCTCCTTAACATAAAAGATTTTAAAAGCTAGTCCAAAATGACTGGGGATAAACAAAACCTAGCACAAAACTGGAGAAAAGCAAAACCCATCATAAAACTAGGGAGGAAAATCTCTCTACAAAGGGAGGGAGTCGCCTAGTTTATTAGCCAAAGGGGTTGGTTCTAGGGAAAATCCCTGGAACCAAAGGGGGTTGCCAAGAAGAGAGACCAAAAAGAAAGAAGAAGAAGGGAGAAAAAGGCAGAAGAAGGGTCGAAAGACTCAGTCTCCTCCTGATGACAGTAGTTTTAAATTTCAGGGCTAGAGATTAGTAGATTGAAACCCCATATAACACGGTTGGCAACTTCGTATAAACCCACCTTCCCCAAGTTTAGCCTTCAACCCCTTCCCAATTCTTAAGCACTTTTCCCTTGTCATCTTGCCCATCTATACTTGTTAAATATTTCCCTATAATTTTTTTAACAAATATTAAGAGTGCAATGTGAGAAACTGGAATTCTGAATAATATTAAGACTAGATCACATATGTGAGTTTTGTCAGTTGATTAGGGCAATGAGTCTGTCCCCTTGCACTTAAGTTTGAATTCCTTTTCCTTTGCACTAGATTATTTGTATATTAAACTATCGTTTGTATACATTTTTATTTAAATTATGCTATTTTAACTCACATGCTCTATTTCCTCCCCCACTATATAATAGAAGAATATTAATTACATATTTTTTTATTTTTTTCTATTTCCTCAAAGGACCTAGGTTAAAAAAATTAATCCAACTCTACTGCCTGACGTTTCAACCCCATCTAAATCATGCAAGTCCAAAAGTTTTTAAAATTTTGAAATAAAATGCAGTATTTTATCAATGCAGCATTTGAGTTGCAGAGAGGATTTTTAGTTTTTAAAATTTCATATAGGTAAGAATAACAAATATTAAGAGTGCAATGTGAGAAACTGGAATTCTGAATAATATTAAGACTAGATCACATATGCGAGTTCTGTCAGTTGATTAGGGCAATGAGTCTGTCCCCTTGCACTTAAGTTTGAATTCTTTTTCCTTTGCACTAAATTATTTGTATATTAAACTATCGTTTGTATACATTTTTATTTAAATTATGCTATTTTAACTCACATGCTCTATTTCCTCCCCCACTATATAATAGAAGAATATTAATTACATATTTTTTTATTTTTTTCTATTTCCTCAAAGGACCTAGGTTAAAAAAATTAATCCAACTCTACTGCCTGACGTTTCAACCCCATCTAAATCATGCAAGTCCAAAAGTTTTTAAAATTTTGAAATAAAATGCAGTATTTTATCAATGCAGCATTTGAGTTGCAGAGAGGATTTTTAGTTTTTAAAATTTCATATAGGTAAGAATATAGCACAACTTTTTTTTTTTGGGTGAAAGAATACAGCACTACTTTAGTTAAATATATTTGGCATACAAGTAAATATATAAATATTTTCATAACGTATGCGAGCAGGAAATTTGGAATATTTAAAAACCTAGTACGCTTTGTAGCTTATACGTATAAAAATACTCCTTCTTGACAAAGTTGCAGTTTGTACCAGCCATTAACGACCTTAGACTTTTACCTCCAATAAACTCAACCATATTTGCAAATTCACTCACCTTCCCTCTCCTCCCTTCTCCTCCATATATATCCTCGACCCACATATACATACACCTCCACACGTGCACCAATCATTTACAGCTGCATATTCAACAAGAATACCAGAGCGTCTCTGCTCGCCATGGGTTGCTCTGCCTCCCTTCCAGGTAAATCCGCGTGCAAATTGGATCCGTTCGAGCTTTAAATTCTAGGGTTTACTGTTTCAATCGAAATTTTCATGTGGGTGCTGTTATTTTGGTCTGTTTCCTTGATTTTTAAGCTGAAAGAGATTGCATTGACTAGTGAGAATGGATTGTTTGTTTATTTAGGTTTTGGGTTTTGGGTTTTCAATATTGCTTTGAACTGTGATTACCCTTTTGAGGAATTTCTAATTTTTTTTTTACTTCTGCTTTACAGTTTTAAGAGGATTCTTCTTATTTTTGTTTAAAGAGAAAAGGACTCTTGAATAAAATTGGTAAAAGAAGTATTGTATTTAAGATGCTCATATGATCTGCATAAAACATTTGACTGATTGCAACTAACATCTCGTTCTTGTCACTCTTCAGCTAGTTTTGTTGGGTGATTCTGGCGTTGGTAAAAGCTGTATTGTTCTGCGTTTTGTTCGCGGTCAGTTTGACCCCACATCCAAGGTAAGGAACATGTTACTGTTATATCATATGTTAACCACAAGTAGGTCTCATGATTTTTACTTTTGAGAGAATGTTTGGTCTATGTCCATGTATTTGGGTTTCAGCATCTAACCTTTCTCTTAAGCTACGTAGAAGTTATTATGATGATCATTTTCTCAAATGTGATTTTTTTTAAAAAAAATTTCAGGTGACAGTTGGAGCTTCATTCTTGTCACAGACGATAGCTTTGCAAGATTCTACAACAGTTAAATTTGAAATATGGGACACTGCTGGCCAAGAGAGGTATTTTTGCCGAACATGTATAGATATGTGAACACTAGTTTAAGACTTATGTATAATGGTTTATGGTGAATTTCATCCTATGTTTTTGTTTACAAGGCATCCACCTTCGCCCTCTCCTTTACTTTTCCCTGGATAGTTTCTCTTGCAATCTAATCCTTTTGCAGGAGAATATTGACTATTAATATCTCCTATTTAGGTATGCTGCATTGGCCCCCCTTTACTATCGCGGTGCTGCAGTTGCAGTGATTGTATATGATATAACAAGTCCGGAATCTTTCAACAAAGCGCAGTATTGGGTTAAGGTATTTTTTCTGAAGGTCACAAAACATTAACTGTGACTTTTAAAAAATATATTTTATTTTAAAATTTTAGGTGTAAATTCTTTTTCTTTTATCCGTAGGTTCTTGTCTCCAGCATGTAACAGGGTTGACGGAGGTCAAATAACTATTGAGTAATGTATGAGGTTACAAAATCGGTATCTAAGATTTTTTACCTCATGGTTGAAGTGTTAGTTATATGGTCTACGGCCAAAATCTAAATTCTAGATAAATATGCAATCGTTATGACAGATTTTTACATGGAATGTCAAATTTTTTGAGATTGTTATTCTGTAACTTATTATCACAGTAGCAAAAGTCATGGTTTTGTTTTGTTTTATGTAATTTTTCTCTGTAAGACTTAAACCCTTAGGCTGACTAAGAAGCTCTAAGGAAGATTTTTGTTGATGCTTAATGATCCTCTTGATATGCCGAAAAAACTACTCAACACATTAGAATTTCTACACTCTGGAGGAAGAACAGTTGACTGTATAGCACTAGCAGCTAATAGTTGGATGTTTGCATGTCAATGTGCGTTGGGGAAGCTTTATTTTTATAGAATGTACAACTTTGCCTTGATACGTGAATTTTACCAAAGTGATCTTTTGTTTAAACTACACCTATATTATTTTTAAGTTTTTAAGAACAATTGATAAATATTAGGTCTCTACAGGAGCTACAGAAACATGGGAGCCCTGATATTGTCTTGGCCTTGGTCGGTAACAAAGCTGATCTTCATGAGAAACGTGAAGTTCCTGTTCAAGTGAGTTCATTACCCCTCAATCTAATGCATCTTCTTTCCATGTATTTGCAATATAGACATTTCTATGACTAAATAAATATTTCTTTTATTGGTGAAGGATGGCATTGAATATGCAGAAAAGAATGGAATGTTCTTTATTGAGACCTCTGCAAAGACAGCAGATAATATTAATCAGCTGTTTGAGGTAAGCCTAGTTACATTTATGTTTTGATAATAGGATATTTCTGTTGTTGGCCATTCAAATGTTATGAAATTACCAGGCGAACTTGGTATATGCTTCAGATTACTACCCTTGTAAACCAGAAATGTTAAATGAAATTTTAAACCCTTAAGAGGATATTGCGGACTAGCATGTATGCTTCTTGTGACACGATGCCATCAAGGCTTACAACATCTTAAATCTTCCATAAGTCCAAAGCTCATCTACTAGTTGAAATGCTGACACTGTCTTGTTTTGGCAGGAAATTGCCAAGCGACTACCCCGCCCAGCCGTTTCGTCAACGCAGAATCCATGAGAGCCAATTAATTAAAGAACTTGTTCATGTTATGGAGACCTAGTTACGTTTTTTCAATTCTCAATTTGTGTATATTGTGAAATAGTCTGTAACTTTTGCTTTTCAATGGGCTATGGGTTTCAACCGATAGTTTCAACTCGAAATTCATGATCATTATTGGCACCAAGGAATAACCTATAAATGGATGCGAACCCACTGTAGCATAGCTGCTGATCAAAGGGTTATACTGTATTAGACATGTTTTGTCAAGGGGTTAAAGCTCACACCTGAAAGAAGCTCTTCTCTCTCTCTCTCTCTCTCTCTCTCTCTCTTTTGGTCGAAGTGGAATTATATTAGAAGCACCAAAAGGAGGTAGCCAGGAACGAACAAATACAAAAAGGGAGTAGACAGAAGCCTCCCAGGCAACCAACTAGAAATTAAACAAGAAGCCTGTCTTAGCCCCTCTGTATTACAAAGAGGAGTCGACTCAAATCATTGATAGTGGATGTCACGCTGGGCATCAACAAGTTTAACGGATTCGTTTATATTATTGGAAAGATGCTTTGCTGACCTCTACGTGTTACAGATGATACATTGAAAAGTTCCACACTATTATATCAAAACCATATTTGGAAATTCTTACTGATAACTACTTTGTTTAAGGATCCGGATCCTCTGCTCTGATTTTTTTTGTCATAATCTGCTTGACTTTCATCCTTTACATGCCATGTCATTAAAATTTAATCTAAGGGATTTAAACTGGACACATCATCCTTAAAATAAAACCTAATTATCCCCAAGTAAAAATAGAAAGAAAAAAAACCCTAACTTGACAAACTCCAACTTAACGTTTGTATAGCAGTGTCTCTTTTTTTTCCTTCTTCCTTTCTGTCCTTCTCTAAACCTCTGTAAATACCATATCTTCAAACCTCACGATTTCTTCTATTTCCCCTATCAACAAAAAAAAAAAACATATATATATTCTCTTTCCATATGTCCTAGCTTGATTTCCTGGCTGCTCCTCACGAGTAGTCTGAAAATTAGACATGTAGCAACACGTCTTTTTGCTCCAATGATTTTTGCCTTTTTACCAAGTCCGCACGGCTATACTATTTACTCAGTGAATAATTAGTATTTAAATATTTGATTAAATAAATAAAAATTTAAAAATAATAACCATTTATTAAGTAATTTAATTTATGAAGTTAATTAAAATATTTAATTATTCACTAAAGAAATCATAATTAAGACATAATTACATATGAAAGTAATTAAATAAGACTAAGATATTATTTAATTATTAAAAGGAAAATTTAAAATAAAAATTTATTGGACCTAAAGATACTAAACTTATAATTTTTTTTTTAAAAACCTCTCTCGACAAAATTTTGTCGGCACAGATCTATACCGGCGAAATTTGCTGGCTTAGACCTACCCCAACAATATTTCGTCTACACAATTACTTTCGTCGAGAGTCTTTTTCGCTTACTTATTTATTTCTTTATTTATTTTAATTTTAAACATATAAAATTAGTTTTTTTTTTTTGGCCAACTTCTTTAGTTTAATATATGCAATTAAGTAATGTCTTAGTCTTTTTTAATTACTTTAATTAGTAATTAGGTTTTAATTATTATTTCTTTAGTGAATATTAAATATTTTACTTATTTCATAAATTACTTAATAAATAGTAATTAATTATTTTAAATTATTTTGTGGACTTCTTTTTTTAATGCAAAATTAATTTGGGTAAATTCAAGTCTCGAACCAAAATCCTAGTTTCCAAACTTGTTCCAAAACCTTTCTCGAGCCTCGAAACCTAACTACAAGCCTACTAAGGAGTAGATACTTTATTTAAATTACGAGGATAAAACCAATTTTTGGAATACTAAAATATTTGGGTGCCAAAACCAAATTTCTAGGATTTCTATTAAAATACATAATACTAATTATTTTCTAAAGAAATAATAATTAAAAGATAATTACAAATGAAAGTATTTAAATAAGGATAAATAATTATTTAATTTATAAAAAAGAAAATTTTAAAAAGGGAATTTTAAGAGTATAGCCGCCGGGCTATACTTTTCTGTTTAAAGCGTATAGCCGCTCGGCTGTACTCTATAAATAGAGTATTTTAGCAGTATAGCCGCCCGGCTATACTCTTGAAATAGAATATTTTAAACATATAGCCTATACACTATAAATAGTCCTCATGAAGCTGTCCCAAAAGAAAAAAATAGTTATTTTGGGTCACGAGACTTGGTCATGGATATGATTATTTCATTTGGCTTTTGTTTATGTAAAACTTAAGTTGTTGGATAACGCATGAATTTTGTAGGGTGGGTGTGGGTCGTGCTGGGCCTTCAGCACTACAGGAGCAATGTTGAAGCTTCTTAGTCTCAGACTCAGTGAGCAACAGCTTGTGGACGGCGATAACACGGTAATTAATTAATTAACCACTAAATTTATCTTATATAATAATTTGTTTAATTTTGAATTTCAAGTGCGATGCAAAAAGATGAGACCGCATGCGACAGTGGCTGTGGCGGTGGGCTTATGACAAATCCCTACGAGTATTTGAATTTGATTGAAGCTACACCGGAAACGGGGTGAAGTCAAATTTAATCCGGACAAGGTGGTTGTATAAGTTGCAATTGTACCATCATCTTCCCAATAGATGAGGACCAAATTGCAGCGAATTTAGTCCACCATGATCCCCTTGCCAGTAAGTATACACGCACTACTTAATTTTAGCATTGTATTCATTATACGTTTACGTGCACGGTAGGGAATTCAAACTTGGACTTTCTTCAATATTGGGAAGAGAGGACCGGTGCATTAGGTCTATCTATGGGATTCAAACTTAGATCTTTTTCAACATTAGAAAGAGAGATCTAATAAGTCTAGTTCGTATTTATGTTCAACGTATATGTGGATCTCAGCTACTGCATAATGTGATGGGAAAAAAAATGTTAACCTATAGAAATATGCTAATGCAACATCTAACACGTATACGCACTGATTTATATTCGTGCCCCTTGATCTGTTTCAAGAAATGGGTGAACCATGGTGTTTTGCTGGTGGGGCTACTCCGTGCTCAGGTTGAGCAACAAGCCATATTGGATCATCAAGAATTCATGGGGTGAGGGCGATGGGGAGAAAATGGGTATTATCGTCTTTGCCTTCATCAAGGTAAAAGCATTTGCCTGAAGAACAACTAGTCTTAGGTTCTATTTGTATAGCATTTGCCTGAAGACCAAATATTATTGGAGTTGAATTGACTATGTCTCTATTTGTATGGATATCTCCCAAGATTCTAATTTAACTCAAACTAGGATACATCAATCTCCTAAACCCGTTGTACGCTTGGAAATATACAATTCAATTAGGAACTAAATACATATTTCTAATTATCCTAATTACAGTAGGTTTTATCGTTCCCCAATTTTTATCTTGACTTCGGTACATTTTAAGATTAAGAATTTCCAAAAAAAATTAGAAGACGATTACGTACTAATATTTCAAATCCTATGGAATTTCAAAAGTTTTGGTTTTCAAGAAACACAATCCTTGTCGAATTAGGAACCTTGTTATTTTCAAAATATAGTACTTTTTTGTTCGATTAGAGTTAGGCAAGTGATCACCCAAACTTATTTAGTTCCGTCTCTTTCTCTTAGAACTTTCCATAACCTAACTATATACGCACTTGCTTCAAAAGTTGATGAACACCATGTCGTCGTCGGCATCAAAGAGTAGGGTTGTGAGGTTGAGGAGCGCAAACAATGAAATATTCGAAGTAGATGAAGCAATTGTAGCACTGTCCGAGCCCATCAAAAACCTCGTCGACGTCATCGGTGTCAACCATGTGATACCAATGCCAGACGTGAGGTCCAAAACCCTAGCCATGGTGATAGAGTGGTGCAAATACCATGCTTCTTCTGATCAGGGCCTCATCAAAGAGTGGGAGGAAGAGCTCGACCAAGCTGACTTCGTCATTGATCTCTTATGCACTGCAAGCTTTCTCTGCATCAAGGACTTGCAAGATCAAATGTTTCAAAGGGTTGCCGATTTGATTAAAGTGAAGACACTTGAGGAGATTTGCGAATTGTTTCACGTCAAAAACGATATTTCTTCCCAGGGTTAATTGTTTGTATTTGGCAATTGTTTTTTTCTAGTTACAAAATTTTGAATGTCATCTTCGATTATTATTATTCCTGAATGTCATCTTAACTAGTCGACCAATAACATAACTAAACCTGTCTCAAATTTAAAGCTTCATTAGAGCACAGGTCCCAACCCGGGCAAGAGGTCCCCCAGGTCCCCATTCTTTTCGGGGCAAGAGATGGGTTCCACCAACCTGGGCAAGTCCAAAGGCAAGACTTGCCTGGGCTGCTACCTGGGCAAGCTGACCTAATATTGAAATCATTGTGACGTCAACAAATAATTTAAATAACAAAAAAGGAAGAAGAAAAAAACCCCAAATTTCAGAATTTTTTAAAAATAAATACCTAGCCATATTCTTCACTTTTCACACCAAAACTCTATACAATTCTTATTCTAATATCTCATGTGAATAATGGTTCTCCTTGGGTTGCCATGGCAATGGGTGCAAAACCAACAAAAAAATTGCTTGAACAGGTACTATTCATGTGAATAATAACAGTTTTTGCCTCCCCTTATCTTTTGTCATGACAAGTAGGTGAAAATACTCTTAACCTCAAGCACTTCTATCCTATGGTTTAAATTTCCCAGGATTGAGATGACAATTTTTACGGAAATCAAAATAATTATCTCCAAGACCTGCTTTTATTGATTATATATATATATATCAAGAGAGTTATCTTGCAGATATATTGATTAAAATAGTTTTGCTCAACATATATGTGATTTTAACTATATCCGGTCTCTCTTGATTATTCGAAAGACATGAATTTGCCAAAAAAAAAATCATTCGAATGCATCTTTTCATCGTTTTTTTTTTCCACAGTTCATTAGTGATTTTTCGTATTCAAGCATATTTTAATTTTGTCCAATTCAAATGGTAACAAGGGCAATGTGAATAGTTAGTTGGTTCAGTTACTCTATTACATGGAAGAAAGGAAAGAAATATATCATTTCAACCTCAAAGGGAAGCAAATTGGAAAAGGCAGTTGGACGGTCCAGATCGAATTGGAACCATGAGAGGGACCCGCGGATATCCAAGTGATGCAAAGCTCCACCCTCCACCGGCCACCGTCCACTGTCCATCAACAAAAACACATGAAATAATTAAATAAACTGTGTAGTTTTTTTCCTTTTCTTTATTTAAAAAAAGAAAGAATGTAGAAAACGAGTGCCGTGGGGCCTGCCTACCTAACTAACTTCATGGCGGCTGATTGGCTGGCTGTTCCACGTCAGTGAGATCGCGACACGTTGCGTTTTGTTATTAGGCGCCGGCGAGAACCTGTTCTTTGCCACGCGTAGTTGACTGAGCCTTTGGTGGCTTCTTTGTCTTTGCTGGGTTAGCTTAGCTAGCCGGTTGTTATTTTGGCTCAAGCCTACCAGGCTCCGGTGGAAACTTTTTTTTACCATTTCATTTAGGTCATGCATTCTCAATAAAAATCACAATAAATAATTGACTTGGTTTTTCTAAAACTTTATTAATTCATTTTGGCAGTGACTTAAATACAAGTATTTTTCATGTTAGCAAAAGTATAGGTTGTTACTCTTCCCTTTTGTTTTTGTTTTTGAAATAGTGCGAAATCGAGAATTAATTTGTGATTATGTGTGAAGATAAAATTCTCTACCACTCTTTTAAAAGATATTATTAACATTTTATAATTTTACTTTAAATTATGATATACCAAAATTATAATTAACATGCAAAGCTCACAACATCATAAACTGATCACATGTATTTAATTTCTAAAACAATTGCATATCCTTTTAAACTCATCTTCCGTTCATAGATAAGAAATTAACCTAATCTTTACACCATGAATCACATTATTTAACCCATAATATAATCTGTACTAATGCAACGTTTTCAAGAACCTGGTAAACTTTAAATTGAACTTTGTATTAAAAAAAAATAGATTAATCAAAGAATAACCATAATGGTAGGTAGGACAATTAGTTTATAAGAAATGAACACGGTAGAGCAATTTGAGATTTTGGCTTGTGTTGAAGCCGAGTGCAGCCAAGCCGTCTGGTTAATTTATAGATAGATCTTGGCCGTTCTATTGGTAATTATGCGCGGGAATGAAGCTAAACACTCCAGGAGGGAGGACTTGGTTGGTCGACAGAGTTGGTTTGCGTGAAAAGGTCAAAAATACCACTTTTCTATTACCTATCTTGACTATTTTGTTTTATTTTTATTTGGTGCTAATTAAGGATTCAATGGATTAATCCAAGGATTAGCTTCCCACTCAAAGTTATTTTTCTCAATGTTCAACCACTAATTCATCTTAAAACTTAATATCAAGTTTGATTAGTTCTTTTACAATGGGAGAATCCCTAATTGGTCTAAAGGGCAATACTGTCACAAGGCAACTGTAAATTTGGTCACAAGTGATCTCATCTGACCTCCCTCAACAGTCAACTCTAAACCAGGATATTAAGCAATAGAATTCAATCTCATTTACTTTTAATTAATAAAATAAATAAATAATTATTAACATTATAATTTTATGTATTTGTGTGTTTAAAAACTCAGACAATTCTCTCCTTCCATTCAGAATCGGACCCAGCCACACCAAACTCCAACGTTTCTCATTACCATATATATAGAGAGAATAAAAGCTCCTTCTTCCAGCAGCAGCACCATCCATGGCGTTTATTTTCACGTTCCAATTTTGCCCCATTCTTCCTTGACGTCGCCATCCCAATCCTAATCCTTGAATTTCTCTATCTGGGTAGTCTTCATCTCCCTCAAGACTTCCACTTTCAAGTTCTGCTAGTCCAATTTGCCTCTCAATCGCACATGGGTCCAACAGGAGAAGATCCGAGAAACTCAGTACTGAGTCGACTCGCCGAGTCGGTGAAGGCGATTTCCGAGTTGCCCGAATGCCGGAACGCGTTCAGGAAGATGTACGGCAACTTCGTACGAAGAGTCAAGCTTTTGAGTCCTCTGTTTGAGGAGTTGAGGGACAGTGATAAAGCGCTTGGTGTAGAAGAGGTTATAGCTTTAGAATCGCTGGGAGAGGCTTTGAATTCGGCTAAGGGGCTTATCAAGTCTGTCAACCAAGGGAGCAAGCTTTATCAGGTACCGTTCTGTTTGGTTTGTGTTTTCTGTTTTCTGTTTGGTTGCCAAGAAAATGAAGGAAAGGGAAGGAAAACAATATAAAGTTTGGTTTTTGAAGCATTTGATCTAGCTTGCAATTCTAAGGAACTTCAAAGTTCCTAGTTTCTGGAAACACATTGTTTAGCCTACGAGGAGTGTAAATGAGGAAACCATGTTAGTGTTGGAATATACTATATAGTCTTAGTTTGATAAGGATTAAGAAAGTTGTCACTCCTAATGTATTGCGCAATTTATGTCTTGTTTTTTGGTTATCAGTCTTCAAGCATGATTTTTCATTAAAAGGAAGGAGCAGAATGCTAAAATGATTTTTCATTAAAGGAAAGAGCAGAATGCTAAAATGAAAATGCTTGGTTTTTTGAGTTGTGATTTCTGTCTCTCTTTTCTTTCTCAGGGTTTATTTTCTGTCTATATTCAGACAAGAAATGAAAATGTAAACAATAGTTTACTTTCTGAACTATTGGGGTCTCTTACTCTTCTCTGTTTATAATGATCAAGTAATGTACTACATATCGTGAGTGAATACTGAATGTAATGATCAATTATTGTACCTTTTGTTTTCCGTAAACAATAGTACAATATTTGTAGTATTGTACAAGACTCCAATGCTTGTGTGTTCGTGCTTTCATTTCTTCTAATTCTTATTGAAAATGTAGAAAGTAATATCAACTTAGAAAGCTGGATTTTATATAGTCTTCTCTTATCTGTCTTTGACATATCCTCCAAGCTTGATTTTATCAGTTACTTGCATATGTGAACTGTGATGTAGTAGCATTAGATATGAACATGTTATTTTCTTGAATAGTGCTATTGTTGATAAGAAACGAATATGAACATCAATAAATGTTTTCTTTACCAAGATGTATACTGGTCGCATTTGTTGTATGACTCCCTGCCTTGGCCTTCTTCTTGCCTTGCAAACATATTGGTTTATTTAAAGGTAGACAGTGTTTTCTTAATGTAACAGGCTTTGCAAAGGGACAAGATTATTGATAAGTTTCACCAAATGACGGTAAAAATTGAAGCAGCATTGAGTAAAATTCCTTATGATAAATTTGATATGTCAGAGGAGGTTTGTGAACAGGTACTTTTACAATCTACGTTTACATTTAAAGAAGGTTATTATCAGAAATGACTCACCACTGATCTTTTATCTCTTTGCTTTTCTATTTTTTATACTTTGCTTTTCTGCAATGTGAGAGAAAGCTTTCTCTTTATGAACAAATCGTAAAACGAAATAAGTAGAGCCAAATAGTGGATTATGAATTTTCAAAGTATTTAACAAGAGGTATTACCCTTTTGTAATTTCTTTCAGATTGAACTAGTGCATACTCAATTTAAAAGAGCAAAAGAAACAAAAGACACCCTTGACTCACAACTAGAGATGGACTTATCCATAGCGGTGGGAGACAATGAGCCTGACCCTGTAATAATAAAAAGACTTTCAGAAATGCTGCACCTCAGAACCATCAACGATCTAAAGAAAGAGTCACTTGCTTTCCATGAATTGGTTATCGCAAGTGGCGGAGATGTAGGGGACCACTTTGAAAAGATGCAAGCTCTGCTTAAGAAGCTAAAGGACTTAGTGCTGACAGAAAGCCCAGAAGTTGACAACTCTGAACGTGACAAGAGTATGATCAAGCACAGATCTCCTGTTATCCCAGATGATTTCCGATGTCCAATATCACTAGAACTGATGAAAGATCCTGTGATTGTCTCTACTGGCCAGGTACAACCCAGAAGATCTTTCACAAAGTACATCTTTGTCTATTGTGTTCATAGTAGTTGATGCTCTTATTTATCTTTGCAGACATACGAAAGATCCTGTATTCAGAAATGGTTGGATGCGGGACACAAAACCTGTCCCAAAACACAGCAGACATTGTTGCACACAGCCATAACACCTAACTACGTTTTGAAGAGTCTAATTGCTTTGTGGTGTGAGAGCAATGGCGTTGAGCTGCCCAAAAAGCAAGGGAATGGTAAAAACAAAAAAGCAGGATGCAGTGTTTCAGACTGTGATCGAGCTTCTATTGCTTCCTTATTAGAAAAACTAGCAAAAGGGAATTCAGAAGAACAAAGAGCAGCTGCTGGTGAGCTCCGCTTGCTGGCAAAGAGGAATGCAGATAATAGAGTGTGTATTGCTGAGGCAGGGGCCATTCCACTCCTTGTTGAGCTTTTATCCTCCTCGGATCCTCGGACACAAGAGCATGCTGTTACAGCACTTCTCAACCTTTCAATAAATGAGAGTAACAAGGGAGCAATTGTAAATGCAGGAGCGATACCTGATATAGTAGATGTTCTGAAAAATGGCAGCATGGAGGCTAGAGAAAATGCAGCTGCAACCCTTTTCAGTTTGTCTGTTGTAGATGAAAACAAGGTGGCAATTGGAGCTGCTGGGGCCATCCCATCCCTTATAAAACTGCTTTGTGAGGGGACTCCAAGAGGAAAAAAGGATGCTGCTACAGCTATTTTTAATCTCTCAATCTATCAGGGAAACAAGGCCAGAGCTATAAGGGCGGGTATTGTGGCCCCATTAATGAGATTGCTGAAGGATGCAGGAAGTGGGATGGTGGATGAAGCGCTAGCAATCCTGGCAATTCTGGCTAGCCATCAAGAAGGGAAGATGGCAATTGCTCAGGCTGAGCCAATCTCTGTTTTGGTGGAAGTTATAAGAACTGGTTTCCCACGCAACCGGGAGAATGCTGCTGCTGTATTATGGTCATTATGCACAGGTGATATACAGCAGTTGAAACTAGCAAGGGAACTTGGAGCAGACGAGGCCTTGAAGGAACTGTCAGAAAATGGCACTGAAAGGGCCAAGAGGAAAGCTGGAAACGTTTTAGAGCTCCTTCAACGAGTCGAAGATTCTATTGATCTTTAAAAATCGTAGGGTCGTGGTTCTAATGCATTTCCTAGTACTATTATTAGGATGAAAAAGTGTAGTTTACAGATGTTCTGCAGATAAATCATTGTGTTACTTGTACGATACGTGTACTATACATTATATTATGGTGACTTAATTCGTGTTGATGTACAAAACAAAGGGATAAGTAGAGTATGTGGGCGGGTTTGGCTGACAATAGGACTGCATATCAAGTCTTCTGGGTTGTATATTATTGAAGAGTTTCCATTAGATAGAAATTATGAAAAAGGAAGCAAAAAGGAATCTTGATTCTCGAACAGCTTTTCCAGAACAGTAGAATTGTTCTTCTGCCTTGCAATGGGAAAAGGAAGGTATGGTTTTCGTTTCGTTTTATTTGTTAAAACGAAGGTATGTATTTTTTTTGGACCTTTTTGGGGTAAAACATGGTAGGTCTGTGAACCTGCATATTTCATGCTTTTCAAACATTATTCATCTATCAAAAAACATCATCCAATCTTCTTTTTTTGGGTGAGTCAAATGATGACGAACAAGTTGAGAGTATTAGTATGGATTCCGCAGTATATGCATACTCGTATATATATATATATATCCAAACTTCAAAAAATTCAAAGACAGACTGATTTACTCCCTCTAAATCGATATTTGGGACAACAAAAACAGGTTTGAATTAAGCAAGCAAAATTTTACACAAATAAAAATGTGTACTTTTTTAACAAACCATAGGATATTTACGATGTATTTATACAAAGGATCAATGCACCCACAACAATGTGAGTCTCGAGTCAAGTTGAGACAAACATCGCTAGATTAAGGTTAGTTGGTGTATTATATGGAGATATGAGGTGGGTGCTAAATTACAAAATAGATATGCAACAACATCATCTCCCTCTTTAGAAGCTGACATATTTTTAAGTGAGGCGAATGGGAGCATGACATTTTTCAACCAAGAGAAGTTTCACATTAACTGTATATTCTTTGTGGATCTAACGTGTGTTTCCATGAAATGTGTACTACTTAAAGGTCCAACATATTCTATGACAGTCTATAGATGTCCCAACAACATGATTTCTCTAAACAATTATGGAGATTTGGTTGAAGCACAATGCCCCAGGTCTCGAGAAAGCTATGAAAATTTGACTAAAGCTGGGAGAAATTTAATTGACTCTAAAAAATCTAAGCAAATGGGAAGTTTGTAATTTTATTATTATGATTTTTGCTTTTTATTTTTGTATTTTTCCTTTATATATTGATGCAATTTCTTCTGAACTTGACACCACGGCCAATTAGCTATAGTGTTTCAAGTAACTATAAAATTAGAATTTTTTTAATAATCATAATGTGTACGAACAAGAAATGAGAGATGGAAAATTCTGCACATAAATTAATTAGCTCTTGCCGACACTGTAAATTTATTCGGCTGGTTTGATCACCAAAACTTTTAGCCAGCTAGATTTGGATATTTCTGTTTTCTTTCTTTTTTTCTCCTTTCCAACAAAATAAGCTTTTTCGGCTAGGAATAGTTTATGAAATCTACAGGAAATCTAGTCTGATTAGGATAATTACAAATATGCCTTTAATGCCTAATTGAATTGGATTTCCAACACGCATTGGGTTTAGGGCGTTGAGTTTACTTATATTTCTATATAAATAGGAACCAGTCCCCGAACTCCCATATTATTATATACTTTGTCGAATATGGTGGATGTCTTACCTACGGAAATTCTTATCGACATTCTTTTGAGATTGTCTGTAAATTCAGCATGTTGTATGAGATGTGTATCTAAAGTCTTGTTAAAGACAGTTGACGACCTTTCTTTTGCCACACTGCACATGCGGCGTTTACCTGATGTTCATCAAGTACCTCGACTTATTCGTCTTGTTGAACCTACCTTTGATGTACATAAGATGTACCCATTGAAATACGATGGCGTTGACTTGACAAAGAGTAAGCATGCAATTGTTTCTAAATTCGTGTCTAGTCTGCGTTGGTATAAGCCAAATTTTGTTTTCTACAACTTGTTTGGCTTTACTGGTCTTCATACGAAGAAAGGAAGGTCATGCTTGTTGGTGAATCCTTTCAAGGGAGAAGTTCTAATGCTCCCAACAACGAGTGACCTCCAAGTTCCAGTCAACAATCTATGCAACAGTGATACGTACGGCATGGGATTTGATAATATGACCAACACCTACAAGATTATTCGTGTTTCTTGCCACGAAAAGGACATCAAAACCCAAGTGACGGCCGAAGTTTTTATATTGGGGACAAGCTCATGGCGGGAGTTACCCTCAATTCCTCCTTGCCATCCCGCACCTCACAGAAAATGCATGATATGTTTGATTTTGTTAACCTGCTTAATTTCAGGGGTTCTTTAACCCTTGTGGATGCTTCTTCATCAGAAGATATGAAGATATGGAAATTGAAAAATTATGATAACAAAGAGTGGGTACTAAATTACAAAATAGATATGCAACAACATCCGTCTCTTCGTTTCTTGAAGGGTACTCTTGTGATGTGTAGTACTCTTTTTTCTATATGTGGAGAATGGGAGCATGGCATATTTTTCAACCAGGATAACTTTGTATTGTTTTTGGATGTAACACGTGTTATCGTGGGTAGTGTACGGCTCAAAGGTTCTACAGTCCATAGTTGTACGGACAACATGATTTCTCTAAAGAAGTACGGAGATTTGGTTGAAGCAGAGCAAGATATTGAGATCCCCATGTCTGAAGAAAGTTATGAGAATCTGACTAAAACATCAGAAGCAAGTGGGAGAGATGTGGTTTACTTGAGAACACAGACGGAGCCCGCTTGTATTTCTTGAGATGCCAATTGCTAAGAATTCTAAGTTGTTTGTAATCTCTTTATATATATATATATATATATATACACTACAGTGACTTAATCAGTCGAACTATCAAGCAGTATCCTTGATGACAGTCACAGTGAACAAGTTCTGCAGAAATGCCGAGTAACACTGAAACTAACACGAGGATTAATTCCTCTTATGTTATCAAGACGGCTTTAGGATTGTGTTGCTTCAAAAGCAATACTTTTCAAATATTCCATAGGATTTCCATACCTAGCTAGATTTGGATTTTTTTCTTTCGAACCAAATAAGTTTAATATGTTATAGATGGAATCTGCAGGAAATCCTTAAGAATGTATCCGTAATTAAAACAGAGTTTTTTCATTCAACAATATGTTAAAAAAACTAGCAAGTAAATCACTCCCTAGTAATATGTTAAAAATAAGTGAATTTTTTTTTAAAATATCACAACAATTTCCCTCAGCCGTGCAAGATTATAATAATAAGTATCACTCCCTTTTCTGAAAAAAAAAAATTATATATATATATAGAGTAAGCTCTCTTTGCAAGTACACTTGGAAATATTAACATAACTATGACATATTCATAGTGTAGATCGTGTAGCATATTTGTTTTATTAATCCGTTCGAACTTCAAATACAATTAATAATAAATAAATATAAGAAAACTTAATTGTCTTCTTATTTTTGAGAAATTAGGGGGGGTTTGTCAAGGGCATCTAATCCAACGTTCTCGTAAACTCTCTAAAAACTAATGCATAGTCATCAGCTGTAACTAATTCTATAGCATGTATGGTTAACTCATCTCCCCGTTATTAATAAATATTCACTTATATGATAACAAGTGGACGAGTTATACTCACCATCGAAAGGGCTATATTAAGTATAATTAGGACCATATATACTGTAGTTACTTCAAAAGGCTATATTAAGTGTACACTAAGTCTAAGGGAAAGTTGAGAAATGAGAAATAATTAGGACCGTATTTTGACAAGTATATACTACAGTAACTTCAAAAGGCTAAGTACGGCAAGTCAAGGAAAAGTTGGAGAACCATAAAACCTAGGGGGGTGTATACAATTAGGATTTTAAAAGACTATTTTGGGATGAATAAGTCTTGTGGTATTCAATTAAGACTTTTAAATAATCTAAACAAGTCTTGTGGTATTCCATTAAGACTATTAGGATTTTTAAATGAGGGTGTCGAAATCTAGTGGTATTCAATCAAGACTTTAAACAAGTAACAAAAAGTCTTATGGTATTCAAAAACTTGCTAATTTCGACGGATTGTTTTAAATGTGAGATTGTGTGAGATTTTTTAATGGGAGGTATAAATACCAAGCCCTATCTCAAATCCCACCCTAACCCATCGGATTTTTCATGTGGGATTTTTTTTTTCTCTCTCTCTACCTGCTGAAGAAGATGAACAACAAAGCATGCAGCAAGCCCAAGCCGAGCTTTTCCCAAATACTCACCAACTTCAGATAAAATAACAACGGGGAATAGCTTTTCTCAACCAATTTCTCAGCCCTTCTCAGTGGTTTTGAAACTAGTTTTCGTGCACTAAATGTCCCTGCCTTGTTCCCAGCAGGTCCAAGCACTGGCCTTGACTCTGAATCAGCCACATTGATATACCTTACTCTTGGAGCTCCTGACATTAGTATCACTCCTTTGGCTGAACACCAAATTCTCCAAGGATCTCAGCCTTTTTCCCCACTTAGAATCAAAAGAAAAATAAAATACACACTTCGAATTCAACCAGAATATGGGTTTGCCCGAGCAGCCAATATGATCCAACCAGAAAGACCCCCAGAGACCCAAAAGCATATGGATTTGACACTTCCACTATGCACATTCATTGACCTTGCTCTTCAAGTTCCCAAAACAGATCTCAACTTTTCCACCACTTGAGCCCCTCAAAGTTATACTCCTACCAACCCTTTGGTCCATTCACATTCAAAATTCACCAAGCCAATACTCAACCCCTTCGAAACACCACCTTGCAGAAACCACTAAAACCCCCATTTTTCCAATGCCCAAACTCCAACTTGCCCAAAACCCCTAAGAAAGTCAAGACCCACCCAGAATTCCACAGAAAATAAGTGAAAGAAAAATAACAACGGGTAATTGTTAAACTCCTTGGCGCCAAGCCAAAGCACATTTTTCCACGCCAAGAAACCCAAAAAACCCAATATTTAAAAAAAAAAAAATCAGAAACAGAAAAGAGCAAGCAGACATTTGACCCAAAAATCTGGCATGGTAGGTATTTGTGATTATGTCCCAATGACCCAGGTTCTTTGTATTTTGAATAGTGCTTCCTTTTTGGTTGTGTTCGATCATGAATCATGAAAAGAGCAAATGTATTTTTGGAATGAAAAACAGAAAACACAATGACTAGGAAAAGGGTGATGATAAATTTTAAAAAAATATGAATAACGAA